AATATAATTTTGATTTTTTAACATAAATTTGATGAATTGAATATTTCAGATTTATTCTTAGATTATGATAATCAAAATAAATATTTTATATAATTTATTATTATTTAATTAATATATATCTTTTAAAAATTAATTTGAATTGATTTTAAATATATAATTATATTTTTTATAGATTGGAAAAATTATAATTTATATTTTTTATTTATATTTTAATAAATATATTTTTTTATAAATATTCCACCATATCATGAATCTATTTTAATTATTATTCTTTTTAATGTATTTAATCTTATATATTCTAAAACATATATATATTAATTATTTAAAATAATATTATTATATTTTCATGTATTTATTTATCAAACAAAATATAATTACTATGTTTTATTTATATATATTAAATTATGAAATTTATATATATTATTTTTTCTTTGTATATTTTATTTTATATATTCAATATAAATATATATATATAAATGATAAATGCGATGTCGCGGGTATTTGGCCCATATCCCTCGCTGACTAGTCCAATATCTCCCCCAAATTTTATTGCAATACCCTAACGGAAGCTGGTATTGCCATCGGAAATAATTTATTTGTAAAGATCCATAAATGAACTCGGATATAGGTGGTTACCTGAATCTTATAGATATTTTGTCAATTTTAGGGGACACTCAGGTGGGGTTTCGCCTTCTCCGCGAGTTATGAACAGCATGCGCTGTGTATCGCCCTCCAGCTAACAAGAGCCCCTCGACATCTTCAACACCACGGTACATTCGGGGTTCTCGAGTATGACAGGATTTCACCTGACAAATACCCAGTGCGAACAAGCCAGCCGGGATTTCTGCCATGCTGGGCTCGGGCTTCGAGGTACGATACTCGACAGTTCTGCCGCCTTTCTGGATTCAGTTGGAAGCATTCCGGGTGTTTGTAAAGAAATTAATCCCGCCTATATTGCACCCGGAGTCAGACCCGGCGGTCGCACAGGGCGCTTGTTTTCTCCAGTCGAAAATCTAGCATCCCTTGGCTTGGCGCCTGGAGCGGCTTTCAACATGATGTGAAAAATTCTGCCTCATTTGGTCGATGAGGTATCTAGGTAAGGTCATTTAGCAGCTTCCTCTACAATTTCCCAAGCATTATTGCATTCCGAAGCTGAACCGGGGCTCGAGCTTTCTTGGCAGCACGGCTTGGGGGGCCCGTGCACATACAGAACGCATTTTTCGTCGCCGAGCTCCGCCGTCGCTTGCAAATTCCTGAAGCCATCGGCGAAGTACGGTGCCCCCAGTATAACCGCATCCTTGCTACCTTCTCTTTGTATGTGGAACTCTGTGTTACCGGAGGGGAAAAAAGCTTACGCCATATAACCGTTCATAATACCCTTCACCGATGGCAGGACTGCAACCCAAAAAGAACTGACCTGGCTTCCTCCTTCCGCAACTGCCTGCTTAGCTTGCCAACCAAAAACGGCGTCCAACAGATATTTTATTTTCTTTCCGAGCTTCAACGGTGCCCCTGCCACCCTTATTCTGGTCATAACGGCTCCTCAGCGGCAGGATATCGTCGGCCAAGCAGGGGATATCGTGCTGACCGTGGCATCTCACTATACCGCCATGAAAATTGCTCACCTGCATATTACTAACCTTTACGCCCAACAAAGGATCTGCTTCGTTCCCTGCATTATTGAATCCACTGGAGCCTAGGACCAGGAAGCCAGCAAGTTCTTGTTACAGATCTCCCGCAGCGCTGCTGCACGCACCGGCGACGATACTTCCAGCGTATAAGAAAATCTTTTGCAGGAATTTTCGATTATCATTCGTGACCATCGTGTACGAATTTTTCTACGACGACGAGCCAATTTGTCTGAGTGACAAGGGTAAGCCTGTTGCGCTGGTTTGTAAATTTTTCCTGGTCGCTCCCTCGCTCGTACTAGGTATTTTTTCTGATATCCTGAATATTTCTATGGTATTTACCTTCATTGCGAATAGTTCCGCTCTTTCGGTGAGTCGTTTGTACCCACCTGTGACTCCAAGAGGCTTGCTGGTGCTGGTGCTTTGCACTTGTTGTTTGCTGTTAGAAGACCGCCAACCCCTTTTTCTCCATTTTTTCTGGATTTCCGCAGCAAATCCATGGAATATCAGATAAAATCATAATATTTTCTATATATTGTTATTTTTTCACTTAATATATCCACTTCCAACCCATAGTGGTGGAAATCACGGGGCCTGGGTACCTGAAACTCAGCAAGTTTTCGAGCTTATTAACAAAATTTTGGAATTAATTGTTGCGGCTTCTACCCCCCATATTCTTACAAACATATCCAGATCTGGTGAGAATTTGGAGGGCACGGATTTTTTTTAGGAGAGTTGAATTGGATTCCTAGCCTCCTGTGGTTCCTTTAATCAGTGCCTATGTTCTGATAAATATATATATATATTTATTTATTTCTTTATATTAATATTTAATTATTTTTTTTCCACCATAGATATTGTTAATTATTCCATATATATTTTTATTTTTTTTACAGGGAATTACCAATCTAGATTTTATATATATTATTTTAATTATTTTAATTTGTTATTTCATTTGTATCGGGGTTGGTATTTGGGGAGGACTGTTGGGTCAAGATTTTGTAGCTGTAAAGTAGCTCTGCCCAACCCCAATCAC